CGCGCGCTCCTCGCCGAACTCACCTTCGCGCCAACCGAGGCCACGAAACTCAACGCCGACAACAAGTCCGCCATCGAATTGTCCAAAGACAATGTTCTGCACGCACGCACCAAGCACATCGATATCCGCCATCACTTCATTCGCGAATGCATCGCCGCCGAGACCATACGACTCGAATACTGCCCCACTGACGTCAATTCGGCCGACTTGTTCACCAAGGCCCTCGCACGCGATCGTTTTCAATTTCTTCGGACGCAACTCGGTATCCTCCCAGTACAGAGTTGAGGGGGAGTGTTGGAATATTGCGGGCACGCTGTCTTTGTACCCTTTGTCACGCGCTTGACAGGCTGTCAAGCGCCTTCTCTATTATGCGGATCCTCTACTCTACGCTTTGCTAGTCTACATCATGTATATAAGCTACGGCTTCTTTTCCCTCGATCATCATCCTTCCCTGCTTCTCAGCTTCTCTCTCTCGTGTGAACTCTAACAGAGATATTCACTCCTACTGCAGCGACTCGAGTCACACCATCCCGAGTTTGACTAACCTCCTCGGGCAGCGATGACGTTCTTCAAAGAGTGAGCGAGCGAGTGCCGTACGCAGCTTAGTGGCAAGCTCGCAGAGGTCGAGGATGGCGGCACGTGAACGGTGAACCATCGACCGGCGACATGAAGTGATTGGAGAAGAGACCGGGTGCTCATGCGGGTGTATTCGACTCGTCGGCCATGTTGGTGTCTTCGTGCTCTACCCATGCCAGGAATAAGGTTCATGTTCGTGTCCAGCGCGCCGCTTGCGCCTTAGCATGCTTCCCCAGGAGCGAAGGTCATCGTGACGTTATCCCGACGCTCAAGGGTGTCGACTCCGCTCACGACTGCCGGGTGCCTGCGTCCTCACAGGCCGGACAGTAATACTAGATCCTTCTCCCATGATGCATACTTGGATTCTCCCTGCCTTGTTGCCGATCCCTGTTGTAGTGGCGAATCGATCTCTGATCCCTAGTGGACTAACGCATACATATACTAGCTACGAAACGTTCTGAAGGAGGTGTATGCTGTACTCTAGCTGGTTGGTGGGAAGAGGGCAAGCCTAATGGACAACGTGAGGTCCAGGGCCGCTGGGGTATTAGGGTTCACGAGCACGTTTCGAAGCCTGAGGCCAATGAGTACGTGCGGAAGCTTCCTGGGCGGGTATGAGAGGGAATCTCTGACGCTGTTTTCAAGTTCGGCCTGACATCGATTGATCTATGCGCCATTTTACATCAGGGGGAGAAGCGCGGACTACAGGACAGCTTCGAGTCGGTGCAGGGGAGAAAAGGGTGAGAGAGGACTGGCAGAAGTGACTGTATGTTTCCCTGCAATACTGAAATAGGGAGGCCGCTAAGCTCATTGTGTAATGGTGTCAGCAGCGTTAGGCACGGGAAGAAAAGGAGAGGCAACAGAGGGTACTGACCTGAGTTTCAGCTATTTCCGCTCCGGTCGCGGGTCTGTCTAAAACGGTGATCGCAGTCGTGGCTGGAGGGTGGGGTGGAAGGCGTCCTCGTCTCCGTCCACTGGAAACTTGGGTCAGCCTCGCGCCACTGGAGACAGTGCCTTACATCTAAGCTGATGGCTTTCGCGCTCAGCGGGATATCTCGCTGTCATTAGCGAGTCTGTTCACACTGGCGACGAAGGGGGGGGGGGGTTCTACCAGGTACTCATCATGATTACTCTCACTCACTTCGTACTCGGACAACAACGGGGGCTTCTTCCCAGACGAAAACCGCCGTGCAAAGCGAGGAAAGGGAGGCTCAATATGTATATGTATACTCGCTCCTCAGATATCCCAGTACTTACGCAACTTTCCTAGTGAGAGAGAACGAATCGTTGGGCAGTGGGTAGCTCCCCAACTGCTGTCGAGGATGCGCCAGGGAGAGGGTTTGCTGCAGCAAATGAGATTTGCACTCCGAGATGTCGCTAGAGTAGGTGCAGCAGAAATAAGGGAAAGTGCTTGGTAGGTGACGTGTGTAGGTTCTTGACCTTTTGAGGATGGCCGCCTGAGGCGGGGAAGAGATGATGCCACCAGGGCGTCGAGTAGCCTAGTATGCTAGCATGTCTCGGAGACGTTTGCTATATTGATAGTATGCTTAGAGAGAGCCTGTTTTTCCAAGAAGAGTAAGCAACAGGAAAGATAGCAAGGCGAAAGACATGGCTGCAGTATGCAGGACATGGAGGTGCACTGTTGCGACGCAGCTAATCCGAACTGCACGGCATTTGTCTGAGATTACGTCAGCCGGTACAGAGACTACACTGCAAAACATCACGCGCAGAACTGCATCGACTCCGAATATCGTCTCTCGCCTCGTCCGTCGATGCTCTTGCAGCATCGACTCGTGCAGAACTCGATGTATTTCCTCGAAAAGAACAAGCGATCCAGAGCAGGGTGAGATTGCAGCTACCGGAGGCTAAGAATAGTAAATTACGCGCTCATCAAGCAGCGAATTCAAGCCTGCCCCACTCCACCCTGCTTTACTCACCCCCCATTCTCCCCCCCCCTCCGCCCCCCCTCGCTCACCGACCTCGACGAAGGCACCTCCGCGACCATCCTAACTAGTAACAGACAAAATCTACCGCCATGTCTCGCGAGAACAGCTTCAGCGATTCCGACGACCGCTCCCTCACCCCCGACCTCGAAGAAGGCCTTGCGACCTCCCCAACATACGTCGGACCCCCTGGTATGCGCCCCAGTACTGGAAACGCCCATGCAACTGCAATGACGAAGTACGGGAGCCGTGGGTGCGGGTGCGGTGGATCAACGTCGGGCAGAGATGTGCTTGACCCCAGGACCCCGAAAGTCGGCAGCGGTGACTTCTTCTAATGGCTCAGGCTTTCTCTCTATTTCAGCTTCCAGAGTTCTGGCTTTATTGAATTCTACAATGCCTGAAGTTATGACATGCAATCGGTAGGAAAATCATAGACTCTCTCACGCTTGACCCCCGGTGTCATCAGTCCCTCGCCCCTCTTTGACGTCGGGGGCATCAGCTGGGACGTCATCAGAGCGCTTGCGCTCAAGTACGGTGCGCCGCCTTCGTTCGTCCGCGATGAATTTGTAAGCTCAGTTCTGAGGGGAACGCGGCGCTCGAACGTGTCTGCGGCGTACAGACCTGCACCCGCTCGCGGTCGAGGACGTCCTCCACCAGCGCGGCCACACGCGCTCCAAGGCCGACTACTACCCGCAGCACCTCTTCGTCCGCATCCTCGTCCACACCCTCGCCTCCTCCGCCTCCTCCTTCTTCTCAGACGACCGTACCCCCGAGGACACCTCTTCTGCGGACATCTTCGCCGGTATGCCGCGCTCAGAATCCCCGGCGCAGATGGACGACGAGGAAGAGGCCGACCTTAAGCGCCGCATGAGCGCCAGCGGTCGCGTCAACGACGAATCCGACGAAGCAGACGAGCGCACTGTGTTCGGGAGCGCGCGCGCGTCGGTGTTCTCCACCCTACGCCACACCCCGAAGGCGGAGCGGAGGAAGGAGGAGAAGCCAAGCATTGGCCTCCCCTGGGGCCGTCCGAGAGCGCACGACGTCGAGGGCTCCCCGCGCGCACCCGGGCAGTGGCCTTTCGCGGCGATGGGAGGCGCAGGGATACGGATAGGAGACAGTAGCAAGAAGTCACGGTACCAGAAGCTGGTGGGGGAGCTGAAGAAGGGCGACCGGGTGGACGTACAGATCCACCCGGTGTGCGTCTTCTTGCTGTGCGACGGGACGGTCGTGTCGATGCACAACGGTGCGTCTGCGTCTTCCCGGGCGAGGGTGGCGCTGACTTGACTCGACTCGATGCGCGGGTAGGGACAGACACGACGCTGGCGCTGACTGCCCCAATTGCGGAGCGGCTGAGGCAGCGGGACACGGTGCTGCGGACGAGCGCGGACCCGGCGTTGCTCGTCCAGTCGTTACTCGACCTCGGTCAGGCTGCTTCTCGTGGGGCTGAATGCGGCGCACGCGCATCACGCTGACATTTCCGTCCCCGTTTCTGTCTCCGTTTCCGATTCCCTCACAAGTCGTCGACCAGGCACTAGAGGCCATCGACTAGTACCAAGGCCGGATCCTCGAGATCGAGGAGCAGGTCCTGCCCAAGCCGAGCATGAAGACCGTCCGCAGACGTCAGTCGTCTCGCGGCTCACTTCATCGCTCTGCGGCTCACGGGGACGCTGACGGTTCGGCTGTGCGGTAGTGCATATACTCCAGGGCGACCTCGTGCTGCACAAACACACGCTGGAGCCGGTCAAGACGCTCATATACGGGCTCAGGCAGTACGACGCGGACCGCGCGCTTGCGCTGCGGGACCTGGACGACGTGAATGACAAGACGCAGTTGGGGTTGGGGGGTATGGGAGCCATATGGTGAAGAGCTATTTGGTGCGTTTGCTCTCGTTCGTGGGAGGGAGCTGATGTGTGGTAGGGCAATGAGGATGATCGGAGTGGTTCAGGCTGATGTGTACGACCATATGGTGGAGTATATTCTAGGGGGCTTGGGTACGGTCGCGGGGATAAAAGGAGAATTTGATGAACTATACGTTCAACGTGAGTCGTCCACTTTCTTGCTTCTTGATTTCACGCTGTGGCCGGACAGCCTGACCGAAGAAAGTGGGCTCATAGATGGCGTCATACGAGATGAACCAAGTGATGTGCGTGTACATCCTGGTTAGCCAGGACGCTACTGATGTGCAATCTGCACCAGGCGTCGTCTGACGACTGTCACAATCATCTGCCTCCCGCCCACGCTCCTCACCGGGTACTTCGTGCGTATTGTCCTCTACCTTCCCCCCAATCTATTATTCAGTCTCTCGCGGGCTGACGTCTCATCACACGCTTGTGCAGGGCAATTTTATGGGCACGTTCCATGGCCCGTATGAATGGCATAGATATCCTCACCTGGAACATCGCGATTTGCCTGCCGTGGGAGGGGTAATTGAGCGCAAGCCTGCGTGGGGAACTAGTAGGTTGCGTGACCATCTTCTATTGGCACACGGGAGGAGAAAACGCGTGATGTCACGCGCTGCTACGCGTTTACGCGCGCTGTTTGCTGCGCTATATCCTCTGCGGCAAATAGACTTTCGACCTCGGTCACCCCGCCGCAGATGCAGTTGCACAGTAACGCCGCTAAATCATCGATATATATACTCACGGTTATGAGTCTTTCTACAGACTTGACCAGAGATTTGCTGATTCGCCATCACCGTCCTCCCTGGCCGTTAATCTGACATTGATGCCTCGACTGACTCATCTGAGGTCCATCCACATTTCTTGTCTCACGAACGCAGCCCTGTCTCTCAGTAGCCGCAAGTACGGATGGAAGTTAATGAGGCTAAGCACTACCAGAGACGTCCCATACTGAGCCCGATTACCATGACCGTTCGACCTCGGCATCCGAGCCGCTCACCTACCTCAGGCTCTCAACCGCGCCACCCCAACCAGGGACGTTTCCCGCTCATTATCGGGGCTCTTGTATGTAAATCCATCTTTCCTTCTCTGCAAGTGATGACTTACGTTTCAGGACGAAGACCCTGAAGCCCGGCCCAAACAAGCCCCGTCGACACAGTTTGGCAAATCAGATTCTGACTCCCTGCATCTCGGCTACGTCATCTCCGTATCTCTCGGTTCTACGACCAGACGGAACTCACATCTGCTTCCTTGACAGGATACAGATGAGAATTGCGCCCCTATCATTCGGCCCCGGCGACCGGAAGCTGCATCTGAAAGTGGGGTCTTCGGACGAGGATTCGCCTTGGCACCCATCATGCGCCGGTCAAGTTAGTGTCTCTCAGCGCTCTCATCGTCACGTGTCAAGCCAACGGGTACCGGCCAGACTGCATGCCAGTGATTGAGGACGGCGACTGCCTCTATCAGGCTCGGAATCCCAGGGTTCAGCTGTTTCGCAGTGTTCGCCATCGCCCACAGGTTCTTTCATATCTAACTAAGTAGCGTGTAACTGACAGCATCAAGCGCTCATACTGCCTGTGCTACATCAGTTGTTGAGCAGATATGTAATCTACTTTCGGCAGCATCGATGCCCGGGCCATTCTTTCGGTGGCACTCACTGACAGCATGTGACTTGGTCAGAACGGAATCAATATCAGAGAAGCAGCCTAGGGCTGTAGCTGTGACAGCATGCTTTGAGACCGATGATTTTGCTCCGAACCACCAAAGGAAAGACTGTTACCGTTCACTTCACTTGCGCTGTAGTCTGGTACATATATAGGGCTCTGCCATCCTGCTAGAAAGCGATGCCCCCATCTGACAATTTCCTACTCCTAGTGGCTGCACGAGATTGTTCTCATGTCAAGCTCGACACTCACCCTTACTACGTTCGATGGGTGGGACCTTGTCTCCGCGGCAATTACAAAACCGATAGGGCGGATCGTCCTGTCTGCTCTACTATATGGTTGTTAGAAGCTGAATAGATCCCGTTATTCATCAATCTGACTGAGTTTGATTTTAGGATGCTTCACGACTCTAGTCCTCGTAGCGTTTATGGCTCTTCTAAAGTGAGCCCCCCCCCCGTCTGATACATCCATAATCTTTACTTGTGGTCTCAAAACCTCGCATTCATCTAAAGACAAAGACATACTCATCGTTTCACCACGGTTGTCCTCGTTTCAACTCTCGCTCTTCTCTATGCATCCACCACACTGGCCGTCATCATCACTATTCTAGAGATACAGGCCGTCATCTTTAATGCTTTGATGTTATCGGTGTCGGCTATATGGTTTCCAGAATTTTCTCCAGAATTCCCACCATCGATCAGGGACTCCCAGTCATTGATCTTTGGTCCCGAAAACTATGGATCTTGTGCGAATACGGCGGCACTCACCGTCAACGTACGTCCTCGTCTTCTTATCACACCGTATTCTGTTATAACACCTTTGCATTTCCCTAGATACTCTTGGGCGATTGTATTGTGTGCTGGCGAGCTTCGTTGCTTTGGCCAGGGAACCGTGTTGTAAGAGGTGTCTCCATTATACTGTTGCTTGCAACCTTCGGTGAGCTTTCAATGGCATAGAAACTGTTGTAGGTTCTCATAATCGTTGGCTCTGGGGTCATTAGCTCTGGGAGCAGTGGACATCAGGTTCACATGCCTCTTCCATGACCAATCTGTGGAATCACTTTTTGAGAATCTCAGCGTGGTGGGAGGCATGTATGGAGGAACGTCATACGGCGTAGCCGCTTCAGCACTCTCTCTTGGTGTGAACCTCTTTGCAACTATCATAGTGGCATTCAAGGCATGGTGGGTCACTTTTCCCATCTAGATCTCCCTTAAACCAGCGTCTCATGAACGGTGCAGGAGTTCGAGAAAGTTCCTGCGGAAATTCATGGTATCGGGCAACAGGACTACCCAGGTGGAGAGACTATTCTCTATACTAATCGAGTCCGGAATGGCATATTGTGCTATTTGGGTGAGCCATATGCTCTGCATCAATATCTCAGGAGCGAGACACAATTTCCTCCTTGCAGATTCTTGTGGTTGTCTGGCAGTTCTCCTCATACATGCTGACATACTCGAACTCCACCTTTTACGAGCAATTCGGTCAGTTCATCAGCGGAGGACTTGTGCCTTTTATTGTACGTCGGAGCTCCTTCTTGATGGAATGCACCTCTCATAACCCTTCTAAGGCCATCTACCCGGCCGTCGTGATCATACTCATCGCACAAAACCGATCGCATATGGTGAAGGCCCTCGGCGGGCCGGCGATCAATACTCCCGAGTCATCACGTTTGGATAGCACTCGGCTCTCAGACGCGACTGTGCTGCGTGTAGCACGGCAAGACAATTATGTGAGAGACGGGCCTGAGGAGTCCAACATACCCACCGCTGACGAGCGGAAGATGGATTCTAGCGGAATTGAGTAGCCTGTGATAAAATAACTACTATAGACATATGGCAAGGAAGTAATGAGAGTTGTAGTAGTACGCAGTCCTCAATGCGTGTACTCGTGGTTGCGGAAAGTATTCGAATGCCCGTGTTTAGGCGCCCATTGACCGCTCCTCCTCCTGGTCCTGTAAGTAGTATAAGTAGACATATCTCTACCGTAATTGAGGTATATATTGCTGTTATTGTCAGGAACGTGTGCGCACCATGTGATAGGAATATGATCTCTATCTTAAGCCAAACTAGGCTCAACAAATCTCAGCATGCTCAGTGAGCATGAGCAGAACATTTGCTGTTCTTGGGTACTGAGAATTGATCAGAGTACCTCCAAATTCTTGCGCATGAGTCTGCTCATAAGGGAGATTCTACAACATTAGAAAGTATGGTGTATCTATGCCTCTGCTTGGAAGGATTAGTACTAACATAAGTCGAAAGTAAGCGTGGTTCAAGGATACTGTATTCTGCTGGGCATTTCTCCAATGCCATAGCTAAAGCTAGAGACTTGAGTTCTGATTATATTAATATACCTTTCTATGCATGTACCTATAACATCAGGGTGCACAGTATTCATAAGGGGAACCAAAGAATGGCAAGAAAGTGTCTTACTAGCTTTATAGAAAGAGCTGGTCTAGTATTGTAGGACCATTTTCTCAAGAAAGAGATGGTCAAAAGCTAGCAACCACTAATGATATAAACCCTCCTCTATGGCTAGATATATGTGCAAGAATATGGAGGTATGCTGATCAATTCCCAGCACCTAAGAATAGCAAATGTTCTGCTCATGCTCACTGAGCACGCTGAGATTTGTTGAGCCTAGTTTGGCTCAAGATAGAGATCATATTCCTATCACATGGTGCGCACACGTTCCTGACAATAACAGCAATATATACCTCAATTACGGTAGAGATATGTCTACTTATACTACTTACAGGACCAGGAGGAGGAGCGGTCAATGGGCGCCTAAACACGGGCGTTCGAATACTTTCCGCAACCACGAGTACATCTACAATGTCGTCTGATGGAATCTGGGCGTGTGACGCCTGTTGTGCCGCAGCGATTGCTAGGTACTGAAGAAGTTCAATCCTACTGCAGCGACTCGAACCACGGCCCGAGCTCAACGAACGTCCTCGGACAGCGATGACGTTTCTCGACGAACGCAAGAGGGAATGCCGCTCGCCGATCAGCGGCCATCTGGCGGGTGTCGAGGACGGCGTCGCCCGAAGCATCGACGTGCGATATGGAGTTGTTCAGGAGAGCACCGGGTGCTCGTGAGGTCGACTCGTCCAACATAATGATGTCTTCGTGCTCTCACGAGATGTCCATATTTGTCATGAACGAGGATGAGCAGAGTCGCTATGGCACAGCAGGCACTCGACATACCTTCGCGATTTTGAGCCATCGTTCGGCAGTTCCGTGCACTAAGCGGCGGACGTCTGGGGACTACAGGATGACATCAATGGCGCAGGAAGGTGTAGCGGGGTTTGACGTGCAAGCAGAGACGTCGCGATTGTGAGCGATCTCGACGGCCCTCGCGAAATCAAAACGAACGGCTTGGACGAAAGCGAGGGCGCGCGCCTTGCCTATTCCAGCAAATGTCGTGCCCCACAATCGCATCTCACTCAATCAATGACGCCTTAGAACGCATGCTCACCTCGGATCGCACACCGGCAGCCTGCGCCACCCGTATCCTCTCCCTCTCCCTCTGCCACGGATTCTTCGCCTCGTGAAACCCAACAGGAACGTCACAGACATTCTAGGCTTAAACCGCTGGGCACAGCTCTGCGCCCCTCTGGTGAGGGGGTCGGGTCCTCGCGCGTAAGTTCGGCAAGTTGCTTCAACAAGGCGGTTCTAGATTCTGGTGGCAAGATGACTTCCGAGTCCCCACATCACGCCCGCCCCAACGTTGTGAGCACAACGCACACAAGATCCGTCTATATTGGTAGTACGCACGGATGGGTTTGGAATCGACAGCGCTTTCTTTCTTCGCCTGCTTCCGGCTCTCCTTCCCCAACGCCTGAGGCGGCAACTCACGCGCGGGAACAAGCGGCTCCGCCCTCTCTTTCCGTTTCTGCTTCTTGCACGCGGTTGCGAACCAGTCGCACACGTCCTGGGCGGTGTGGTGCGCCAGACCGGGCATAAACTTCACGCGTTTTGCAAGCATCGCACGCGCGGGGACATCGGGGACATCGGGGGTCTGCGAGAAGTTGTCGAAGTAGGCCGTCCCGTCGTGCGTGTGCGAGCGGTCAATTTAACTATTGGAGACTGCACAGGGTGACAGCAACGCGACGGAGGGTAGGCGACGTACCTGTGAGGGTTACCCATGCGCCCTATGGCAGCGGACCCTTGCGCGATGTCAGTCTGTGAGCGACGCTTTAGGAGTGCAGTGTCGGAGCCTGCGTCGATGTTTAAGTGGGTCCCGCTGGTTGGGTCGGCGGCGAAGGGCCAGGCGGAGGTCGAGGTCGAGCTTGGAACTGAGATACCGGTCGGTAGAGATACACTCGCTGGAGGGTGCGTGGGTCCCAGTTGACGATGGAAGGGGAGCCGTTGAAGTTTGCGGCTAAGGCAGGCCTGTAGTCGGCATTCGCGACAAGGACGGCATGCGTGAGTAATGGCATGTAGCACACGGGGTCGACTGTAGATGTTGACGGCGAGTGACTAGCTATTCAGGAGATACAGACATGGATATGAGCAGTAGTTGTAAATGTCACTAGGGAGAGCCTCCGCCGCGGCGACGGTACTAAACCGGGCGATGAGGTCGATGAACATTGCGAGGCCTGACAGGGCGAGCATGCCGCCAAACGGTTGGGAGCTGAACCGCAGATGTAAAGGAAAGACTCGGAGGGTATAGCGACATAATCCGTTCCGACTGGCACCGTAGGAGGGCAGTCGCACAACGAGGAGACGTGCTATGTCCGATGCTTGTGAATGAAGATAAGGGCAGCAGTGTTGTTACGGGTCAAGTCAAGGGTCATGACTTTTTGTCAATGGGTGACCGGTCACCGAGTGACCCGGTCATGACCGCTTGTCAAGGGTTAGCACGTGATATCTCCGGGGTGTCCGAGTGTGCTGATGGCAGCATGGCGGGCGGCAGTCTTGTGGTTGTGCTTGGGCCCAGGCGGTGCTCATTGTCGTACCTCGCAGAAATGTTCCCTGATGGCACGCCTGGCTCCAATGTGTGGCATGGGGCATGGGACGATGAAGGATTGAGTCGCAGTTGATGATAGCTGTAGGGGATACGGTACTCAGTCTCATGGGTCGCCTCATTTTCTCTATCATACCGTTTCCTACCACTTGCGCTGGCGGAAAACATTCAACTTACGAATGAGATTTGGAAGTGTGGGACATACACCCATGCTCGCAGGTTGTGGTTCCCCCCACATCTGCCCATCAAACACAATGTTAGCTTCGATCGAGACAGTTGGTCTGATATCCTGCAAGTCCTACTAACGAAGGTACCTGGGACTTCTACCAGCACCTTCGGTGCCTTCGATGCCTGGCCCGGACGCTCCTTTAACTCGTACCACCACCGGCGACAAATTTCCCACGGTCATCAGCCAATAGGAGCGGGCTACGCCGTGCGGTCAGTTTTCTCTCTGGGCGACATACTAGTTTATATACCGAACGCTACGCATATACTAATAACGGAATGCCTCCGGAACCTGTCAGACGAGGCGGGATGGCATCGCCACAAGTTACTTCACGGTCGAAGAAGACGTCGGCAGCAGTACCAATGGGCGTACCGCCCGCAAGGCAGATGAGGACCTCATCCGAAGACACGTTTACGGCAGCATCTGAGAAGATCAAAACGATAGAGGACGCTTTAAGTGTGCTGCGCAAGCATGAGATGGTGCCTGCTGCAGGTGATCCCACCGCCGAAGGGCTGATCACCGGGCTCCTTCACGTAGGAGTTGCCCTAGTAGGCAAGAACGAATGGGCGGCGGAATGCTGCATCGGGCTAGCGGTTTATGCGAAGACAGTTATAGAGAGCGCGGTGAGTAAATCCTTAACGGACGCTATACTCACCCGTTTCGAAGCACAGGCCACCACTTTAATCAGTGGTCTGGAAGAACGAGTGACCGCTGCAGGAGACCGCATCACGGAGCTCACAGACAAGCTAGCCGGGACGGGAGAGACTTTGAAGGAAAAGGTAGTCGCAGTGGTGGACGACATCCGCGACGGAGAACACATCAACAGAACGCCCGGTGAGCCGTTTCCACACTCTCCCCCTTTCTTGTATGCGGACGCTGTGCGCGCTACCCTCCCTGGCACCGTAAGGGCCGTGCAACTGAGTGTTGCGGATCGCGAGAGCATCCGCGCGCGACAGATCCTAGTGGATAGATTCCCGCTATGTGGGGATGATGTCCCTTCGGAAGTCGCCATCCTTGCAAAGGCGAACGAGGCGTTAGAATTCCTTCCGCAAGGCGTACTAGACATCCCGGAGGGCCTTCGCTTCACCGCGGCGAAGACCCTTCGGAATGGAGGGGTGGTCCTAGAGATGGCCTCCCCGGAGCCGGTCAGATGGCTAGTAGCCCATGCTCAGCAATTTGAGGCAGTACTGAGTGAGCAAGCGAAGATCCGCCCACGGCAGTACAAGTTAGTGGCGGAGTTTATGCCAGTCGGATTTGACCCCTCCCAGGAAAGGGTGTGGCGACGGACAGAGGCAGACTTGGGCCTAGATGAGGGCGCAATACTGGAAGCGCGCTGGATCAAGCCAGTTCACAGGAGGTACCGCGAGCAGCGGTTTGCCCACCTATTGGTCACGGTCTCCTCTCCAGAGGCCGCCAATAGGATTATAAGGGCTGGACTGATCCTAGCTGGCCGCCATGTCAGTGTACGAAAAAATCTTGCAGAACCGATGCGGTGTGCGAAATGCCACCGCTACGACGCAGGACATCTGGCAAGGGACTGCCCTCAGGACCATGATACTTGCGGCACATGTGGACGAGCTCACAGAACGGCAGACTGCGCAGTACAGGATCTGCAACAACACCACTGTGTTAACTGCAACGTGAGGGGGCACGCTGTTTGGGACCGTGACTGTCCGGTCTTCCTAGACCTCCTGAGCAAGGCAGACGCTCGCCACCCTGAGAACAGCCTACAATTCTTCCCAACAGCAGACCCCAATTCATGGATCCCCAAGGTGAACAGCAGGACGCCACCAATCATGCGAGGCCAGCTGAGTGAGATTGTCGCGGATGCGATCGAAAGGAGTCCGGGCGCGCCATCGCAACGAGCCAGGGCGCAGAAACATCACGCCCGCATGACGCAGACCCAGCTCCCTTTCGCTTCACAGAGATCTAACGGAACAGATGCAAGTGCATGAACCGACCCATACTACGTCACAGACGAATACTCTTACTACTAACGCACTCCTCAGAATTTGGCAGCAGAACGTCAACAAGTCGCTTTTGGCGCAACTGGATCTCCTGCACTCAGCGTCGCCGGACGACTTCGACATCCTAGCAATCCAAGAACCATACATCGACCACCTCAAGCTCACGCGCGCGAACCCACGATGGACAGTAGTGTATCCAACCGGACACCATGATCAAGCGGACAGAACGCTCTCTGTCCTCCTTATCAACACTCGCATCTCGTCCAATGCATGGCGCCCAGTCGCGGTCCCATCACCGGACGTCTCCGCGGTCACGGTCATCTCATGCGGCCGCACAGTACACATATTCAACCTATACGTGGATGGAGAACACGACCGGGCACTGCATGCGACAGCGAGAGCCACAAGACGGCTGCTACCCAACGACACCGAAGACGAACATCCGACCTCTAACTCCCTCCTCTGGCTAGGCGACTTCAACCGCCACAACCCACTCTGGGATGAAGCGCGCAACCACCATCTCTTCACCCCCGAAGGCCTCGATCGCTCACAATGCCTCCTCAATCATGTCGCTTCATTCGGGCTGGAAATGGCACTACCAGCTGGCATCCCGACGCTTGAAGCCTCCCGCACCAAAAACCTCACACGCCCAGACAACGTCTTCTGCACTACTGACCTCATCGAGTCCCTCAGATCCTGCAAAACAGTGCCCCACCTGCGCCCTACTAGGACCGACCATTTTCCCATCCATACGATTTTCGATCTACCGCTTCCAAGCTCGGCTCCGACACCGCATCGCAACTTCCGAGATGTGGACTGGGCAGCATTCGATACTGCCCTCCGTGCTGCACTGCAGGGCAGCGAACTCCCGAAGGAGATCCGAACAAAGGATGACTTCGACCGCACGCTCTCCTTACTGATGCAGGCCATCAACAGGGCGGTCGAGGAGGAGGTTCCCTGCTCCCGACCATCACCTTTCTCCAAGCGATGGTGGTCAAAGGAGCTCGCAGCCATGCGCAAGACAAAGCAGCGGCTGGGCCGAATAGCTCACAAGCACTGAGGTGACCCTCAACACCCCACACACAGGGAGTACCGCCAATACCGCAATCGCTACGCGGACCACATCGACGCTGCGAAAAAGGACTGTTGGACCTCCTGGTTGGACTCCGTGAATGCCCACACCATCTGGGCGGCGCATCGTTTCACCAAGAAGGGAGCATCAGACGGAGGCGGCACCCGAATTCCCCCCCTCAAAGCCATAGACAGCGATCGCGTGCTGACAGACAATGCTGCCAAAAGCCAAGAGTTTCAGAAGACGTTTTTCTTACCGCCTGGTCCTGCCCCTGCACTGGATGCTGATCACCGCTACCCTGAACCCAAGTATCGATTTACAGGAGTTTCGGATGAACAGGTCGGACGGGCCATCCGCTCCCTGCGAGCGTTCAAGGTGCCTGGCCCGGATGGCATACCGAATGAGGTATATACTCACTGTGATGTAACGCTGACCCCAATTCTTGGCAGGCTTTTCAGAGCGACTTTCGATCTCAAGTACTACCCGGATGCCTGGAAAATATCTGACACAGTAGTCCTGCGCAAACCGGGAAAAACAGACTATACCACCGCTAAGTCCTATCGCCCCATTGCTCTCCTAGACTGCATGTCAAAGATCCTCTCACGATGCGTTGCTGACATCCTTACATATGAGGCCGAAACCAACTCCATGCTCGCCAACAATCAATTCGGAGGTCGCGCAGGCCAAACCACAACAGACTCCATCCACCTGGTCACGAAGACGGTCAAGGACGCCTGGCGTAGAGGCAAAGTTGTCTCCATCCTCTTTCTGGACATCAAGTCAGCCTTCCCAGCCGCCACACCGGAACAACTCTTTCACGACATGCGGGAACGAGGAGTGCCGGAAGAGATAGTCGACTGGCTGCGCGAGAAGCTACGAGGTCGATGCACTTGCCTCAAGTTTGACGACTACACCTCGGACCCCATCGACATCCTCAGCAGCATTGACCAGGGCTGTCCACTCTCTGTCATCCTCTATAGATTCTACAACTCTGGACTTATTGATAGCGCTAACAAGAAGGGAGGAGAGGTCGCGGTGGGATCCATGGACGACGTCGCACTTATGGCGATAGGTTACACCTTTGACGAGACACACCAAAAGCTGACAGACTTTTTCGAACGCCCACAGGGAGCAAACGAATGGTCACGGACGCACAACTCTACCTTCTCTCTCGACAAATTTGGACTCCTCAATGCATCACGCACCCTCAAGAATTCGCTTGGCCCTGCACTCCAACTAGGCAGCACCCTCATAAAGCCCTCAGACCACCATCGATTCCTAGGATTCCTAATGGACTATCGGCTCCGATACCACCAACACGTCGCATATGCGCTAGGCAAAGGGATGGCCTGGGTTGCCACCCTACGACGTCTAGCCCGATCACAGTATGGCCTTACACCGGGGCTTGTTCGTCGCCTCTATCTTGCAGTCGCAGTCCCTAGCATGCTCTACGCCGTCGACACCTTCATCACTCCAGTGCAGACACATCCAGGGCAGACACGTCGCAGTGGCTCAGTCGGCGCAGTCCGGAAACTCGCCCGGGTCCAACGGGAGGCCCTGCTCCTCATCACAGGAGCCATGAGAACTACCGCAACCGATGTGATGGCTGCCCACGCTGACTTACTCCCCTTCAACAGCTTGATAGACAAGCTCTGCCAGAGGGCTACCATCCGAATGTGCACCCTCCCGAGCACACACCCCCTGTCGCCACACGTCAAGCGCGCTGCTACTCGCTATGTCCGGAAACATCGCTTGCAACTACATGAGCTCCTCCATCTCTACACAACCCCCGACACCCCACAGCGCATGGAAAAAGTCCTAGCTGTTCGACATCACCCTGCATGGACTCCGGCACACTGGGTCGACATCGCGAGCTCAAAGGACGAGGCACTGGACAAGGACGAGGAGTGGGCACAACGACACAAGATACTGGTCTACTCGGATGGCTCGCAGAGGCGGAGTAAGGTCGGCGCATCAGCGGTACTCCTGAGGGCCGGGTCGTCCCGACCCAAGACCCTCTATTACCACCTCGGCACGGACAGGCAACATGGGATCTATGAAGCAGAGATTGTCGGCTCCATCCTGGGCACGCAGCTGCTACGAAAGGAACGCCAGGCCGTGCGAGGCCCCTCAGTGGCGCTCGACAATATGTCGTCAATTGAGGCATCAACCCAGATACGTCCACGCCCTAGTCACTACCTCACTGATTACTTTCATCGCAGGGTCCAAGAGCTTTTGGACAAGGACAAAGTAGCCCCGCGCACCGTCTTCACCCTCCGATGGGTACCGGGGCATACTGGGGTCGAGGGAAACGAGATGGCGGACATGGCGGCAAAACGCGTGGCCAAGGGGAAGTCAAGCACGACCAAATCCCTCCCACCACTCCTTCGCAAGCCGCTCCCACTAAGTGCAACCAAAGCAAAGCAGGTGCACTTAGAGGCCCTCATCAAAGACAATGCAGAGCAATGGAAAGCCAGCGCACGCGGACGCAGACTACACCTCATCAACCAGACACTCCCCTCCCCCTCCTATATGAAGAGGATTCGATCTCTTACACGGAGGCAAGCAGCAGTACTCTTCCAGCTTCGCACCGGTCATGCCCCCCTCAATGACCACCTGCATCGTATCGCGCGAGTCGACTCGAAGCTATGCCCGGCATGCGGCTTAGCTCCGGAAACAGTGATGCACTTCCTTCTACAGTGCCCCGCCCATGCCTCAGCGCGCTCAGAACACCTATCTCGCCTCGGACGACGAGGCCGGGCCTTACCCACCCTCCTCAACTCACCCTCAGCATTACAACCGCTACTCAAGTTTGTTAGTGCGACACGACGTCTCCAGAACACCTTTGGCAATGTGACACCCAAAGAGACGAGACAACATCAGGATCAAGACCGGAGGGGTCGCAACGCATAGAACTCGCTGGCGCACTCGGACGCGCCTTTTCCTCCCCCTCTACCTCTCTTACTCGCTCGCTGTACAGTACGCTGACTACCTCGTCCGTTTATTACAGGAAAGCGACCACACACATCCCACTACATAGAGTCCGGTAGTCTAGTGCTAACCTCGTTGCATGTATCCAACGCTCTCGTAGATCCCAACGGAAACGTGCGTCGCGGGCGTCCGCCCGCTCTAGGGGCGGGGGAGTTCTGACAGACGGCGGGGACACCGCCGAACGTACACCTGACTGGCGCAAGAGGCGAGACCCAGGGGCGCAACCGCACCCAAAGGCCGCAGGTTTATAGCCCGTTCCCTTGCCTTCAATGGCCAGGACTGGACGGACGCCCGCAACGCATTCTTCCTGAGCCCTGCCCCCTTTTACACACTACTTGCGTACTCGAACGTCTCACTCTCGCCCCTGTCTGTACCCCGGCACGTCCCCTTGCACCATCCCTCATCGATATCTCCTCCATTACACACCCTTAGACTGCATGAGCATCCTGCTCAATTATGTACCGCCGACCCCTTTTACCACACATGTAGACAGGATTGTATTTACGGCCTACCATGAGGCTCGGCCTCGCAGGGCAATAAACGGGATCTAGAAGAAGAAGAAGAAGAAGATGCCTGGCCCACAAAGCCCCGGTGGAGAACTAGTAACTATACATACTGATAGGTGTATTCTGGTGAGTTATTTTCTGCCAACATGCCTGCTTACGAAGCAAAACTTTGAAGTATCATTCATTCACAAACCTATCAGATGTGTTAATAGAGCGAGTCGGATGAGGAGCTCGAGAGGCAGCTCATCCGGGGTTATAAATCGTAGTTTGAAGTTGCGCCTACTACTGATGCCATGTTGGGTTTTGTATTCTATAGATCCCATTTCAGGCTATTCTCTCATAATACCTATACGGATCTCGCTTCACGCTCCCAGAGCCCTGAACATACTCACCTACGTCTATGTAGATTTACAGTTTGGATGTTCAGCGGCCCTTGGTCCGATCGACTAAGCGCCTGACCGCCCAGATCACGCGTTAACTTTTGACAAACCGTCATGACCGGTCAACCGGGTCATGACCGGTCATGACTTCGGTCATAACCGGGGTCATAACAACACTGAAGGGCAGAGCTTGTAGACCTGCTATGGAAGCGTGAGAAATTGTGTCGCGTGACCGTCTCCTATTGGCGGAAGTGAATACACGAGTTCAAAACGCTAAGTCGCCATCATAGTCCTCTCCGTTGACTTGTCTGCACGCTAACTTGCAATCCAAGTTGAAGCGATCTCACTCATTAGATCGGATAGCATCCACATGTGTCTCACGAACACCACCCTGTCTCCTAATAGCCGCAAGTATGGAAGTAAGGTGATGAGGCTAAGCACTACTAGAGACGTCCCGTACTCAGCCCAAATGCCATGACCGTTCCACCCTCGGCATCCGAGTTGCTCACCTAGTACCTTAGGCTCCCAACCTTGGCATTGACATTGAAGGTGCTCTCACAAAGACACAGGGAAATTTCCGCCTACCACTGCGGCTCTTGCATGACACCATGTCTTTGTTGCTGAAAGAGATTGATCACGATCTAGGACGAATACCTTGAAGCTCAGCCTGAACGAGCCTCACCGACGCAATTTGGAAAATCAGTTTCTGACTGCCTGCATCTCGACTACGCCATTGCATCCTCTGTATCTCTCCGCTCTACGACCAGAAGGAGCTCACATCTGCTTCCTTGACAGGATACAGATGAGAACTGTGCCGCAATCCTTCAGCACCGGCGACCAGAAGCTGCATCTGGAAGTGGGGTCTTCGGACGAGGAATCGCCTTGGCACACATCGCTGAGTCTACCACGATCCATCGTGTCGCAGTCAAGCTCTAGGCTCATTAGCGTATGCACGAGGGATCCAATGCTATTCAAGGTACAACGGTCATGATGTCATAGTCGCGGACGCATCAAATCTGTATTCCCAGCGCTGTTATCGTCACCTGTCAGGCCAACGGGCACCGGCCAGGCTGTACCGAGGTTAGCGACTGCCTTTACCAGGCTCGGAATCCCAGGGTTCATCTGTCCCGCAGTGTTCTCCGTCGCCTGCAGGTCATCATCTGTCTGACTTGACTGACAGCCATCGCGCGCCCTTGCTGGAATCCAGGCCGAGGTTCGAGGTTCGATGGCAAGTGAGTACGCAGTCTGGCAAGCCTGGACTCGAACGACGCAAAGTCTAGTGGTTTTGATTTTTGTCGCTATATGGTCTATATGAGAAAGCTCTATGGCATGTGACGAGCGTTCACTTGTGTGGTAGACGTTATAGAAGGACGTTCCAGTGATACATCAGTTGCTACTTCTCGCATCATCGATGCCGGGTCATTTTGGTAGTAGGACTCACTCAAGGGTGAGTTAGAAGGCCACTGATCGGAGAAGCAGCGTAGGGCGTGAGACCGTGCTTTGATACTAGTGATTTTGCGCCAAAGCATCAGGGAAAGACTGTTAACTTTCACTTCAGTCACTGCCCTGTGATCTGGTACATATATTGTGGCTTTTCCTTCCTACTCGAAAGCATCACCCCCGTCTTACACTTTCCTACCACTAGCGACCACACGAGATTGATCTCATGTCAAGCTCGACACTCACCGGTACCACCTTCGATACATCTGCGTGGGGCTATGTTGCAAGTCAAACTACAGGAGCGATAAGACAGATTGTCCTGTCTACTGTACTATATGGTTGTTAGAAGCTGACTAAATCCCGCTATTCATTCATCAATCTGACTGCGTTGGTTTCTAGGGTGCTTCACAACTCTAGTCCTCGCAGCGTTGATGGCTCTTCGAAAGTGAGCCCGCACTTTGCTACACCTATAACCACTACTTTTGTGCTCAAATGTTAGCATTTATCTGAAGACAATGGCATACTCATCGTTTCACCACTGTCGTCCTCGGTTCGACACTCATTCTCCTCTATGCATCCACCACAACGGCCGTCGTCATTAATATTCTAGAACTACAGGCCTCCATTCTTTCCAATATATTATATTCGGTGGGGAATATCTGGGACGGGGCACCTCTAGAGGTCGAGCTGCCACCGTCAATCCAAGACCTATTGTTCTCTGGTCCCAGCATCTATGGATCCTGTGCGAATACGGCGGCACTCACAGTCAATGTACGTCCTGGTCTTCTTACCACACCGTATTTTTTAATAACAAGTTCACGTCTCCCCTAGATACTCTTGGGCGATTCGATTGTTTGCTGGAGAGCTTCGTTGCTTTGGCCCGGAAACCGTGTTGTAAGAGGCGTCTCAATCATACTGTTGCTGACAACCTTTGGTGAGCATGCAATCATATAGCAATCTCCACATGTTCTCATACTCTTTGTCTCCCCGGTCATTAGCTCTGGGAGCGATGGATCTCAGGTTCACATGCCTCTCCGATGAATTTAGCGATGACGAGTCACTTTCTAAGACTGGCAATGACGGCCTGGCGGGAGGCATGTATGGGGGAACGCCATACGGCGTGGCTGCCTCTGTGCTGTCTCTTAGTGTGAATCTCTTTGCAACCGTCATAGTGGCTTATAAGGCATGGTGCGTCATCTTGCGGTTTGATAAATTCTTTAAACTAGCCTCTCATGAATGTGGCAGGAAATCGAGAAGGTTCCTTCGGAAGTTCATGGTATCGGGCGACAGGACTGTACAGATGGAGAGGCTATTCTCGATGCTGGTCGAATCCGGGATGGCTTATTGCACTCTCTGGGTAGGTCGATTGATTTGCATCCACAAGCCCGGAGCAAGACTCAATGTTGTGTTTGCAGATATTCGTGGTTGCTTGGCAGATAGTCGTGTACCAGTCATCGATTTCTGATGATGATCATGCCCCTGCGTTTCAAGCGCGATTTGGTGACTTCATCAGCGGAGGACTTGTGCCTCTTATTGTACGTTGGAGCTCCTTCTTCAAGGAATGCATCTCTCATAACCCTCCGAAGGCCATCTACCCGGCCATCGTGATCATACTCGTCGCACAAAACAGGTCGCATATAGAGAAAGCCTTTGGCGGGGGCGCGGTCAATACCCCCGAACCATCGCATTGGGACGGCATCCGGACCCCAAGCGCGACTGTGCTCCATATAGCACGGCAAGGGGGTGAAGTCGGAGAGGAATCAGAAGAGTCCAGCACGCACACTGCTGACGAGCGGAAGCTGGAATCTGGCGGAATTGCGTAGTTCGTGGTACATGTTGCGGCGCAAGGACCCGGTGACGAAGTAGATGCATGTGGAGTAACGCCTGTTCTGCCATAGTGACAGCTAGGAAGCGGAGAAACAACAATTACTAGATATGTTCATTCCTACTGTAGCGACTCGGGCCACGCCCCAAACTCGACGAACGTCCTCGGACGGTCATGACGCTCTTCGACGAGCGACCGAGCGAATGCCATGCGCAGAACAGCGGCCAACTGGCCGATGTCAAGGATGGCGGCACGTGAACCATCGACGGGCGATATGGAGTGGTTGAAGAAGGCACTGGGTGCTCGTGCGGGTGCAGTCGACTCATCTGCCATGTTAGTGTCTTCGTGCTCTGATGAGATGTCCATATCTGTCGAACACTGAAGGTGCGTGACGTTGCCATGGATAGTATGCTTGATACTCGGCGTGCCCCTTGACCATCTTCAGCTTCGTTCGACAAATTCGTGGGCTTAACGACAGACTTTTCAGAATCAGATGAGAAAGTCGCAGGACCAGAACCATTCGAAGGAGGGATATGCGACGTAGTGTGGCGTGCAAGAATAGTGGCCGCCGCAGGCCATCTTGACGGCCCTTGCGAAGTCAAAAGGGACGGCTTGGACGAAGGCAAGGGCGCGCGCCCTGGCTATCCGATAAAGAATCAATGTCGTTCCCTAGAACCGCTCAGAACGCATGCTCACCTCGGATCGCACACTGCCAACCTGCGTCGCCCGTATATTATGCTGCGGATTCATCGTTCTCTACCGTCTCGTAAACTCCAGCACATACGTCGTCGACATTCTAGGCTTGAGCCGCTCGTCCCGGCTCTGCGCGACGTCTGTTTCGGGGCTCGGGTCCTCGCGCATGAGTACGATGAGCTGCGTTAACAAGGCAGTCCTGGTGTCCGATGGCACAATGACTTCCGGATGCCCAGCAGACGCCCACCTCAATGCACACAAGGTATGTGGAGGACGGGAGTACGTACAGTTCAGGTTGGAATAGACAGCGACGCTGTTCTTACCCCCTCTCGGCTCTCCTTCCGCGACGCCTTAGGCGGATTCTCACGCGCGCGAACGAGCCAGTCCTCCCGCCCGCTTTTCTCTCCTTCTTTTCTTCTTGCGCGCGGTCGCGAACCAGCTGCGCACGTCCTGCACAGTTTAGTGCGCCAGACCGGGGATAGACTTCACGCGTTTGTAGCATGGCGCGCCCGGGACGAACGGGGTCTGGGAAACATTGTCAAAGTAGACTGTCCGTCGTATGTAAGCGAGTGGTTGATCTAGCTACTGAAGACTGCACACCGTGACAGCAGCGCGATGGATGATGGACGACGTACATTTGAGGGTATCCCATGCGCCCTGTGGGAGCGGACCCTTGTGCGGTGTCACCTTGTGAGCGACGCGTTCGGGTTACAGCGTCGGAGCCTGCGTTAATGGTAGTGTGGGTTTCGCAAACTGCGTCGTCGAAGGGCGATGCGGAGGTAGATGTCGAACTTTAGACTTAGATTTAGAGGGACCTACAGCGAGGGTTATGTATCCATGGGCAAATAGCCCATGGAGAGCTCAGCTCTCCCTTCGCCCGCGAGAGAGGGGCGGTGATGGAGATCAGATGACGAGGCGAGGGCGCTGATGGGATGGCAAAGCCGGATGGAAAAGCCGGGCTTGTCCGTTGGGAAGTGCCACCCCCAGTCCCGCACTGCACTTTCCGTGTCCCCCGACGTTGTAGCTTCGCCGCTGAGCGCAGAAAGAGTGCGTGGATGTTGGCATATGACGGGGACTGAGGAGGCAGAACGAGGGAGAGAACGCGGGAGAGAACGCACCTGGAGAGGGCGCATCAGCGCATCAGTGGGCATGACGACTGATCGTCAGGAATGCATCGCGTACGACGCGAGGGTCTGCCTGACTCGCGTCCGACACCTACAACAAGAACAAAATTGCGCCTGGACGCACTCCCTGTGGCAAGAGCCTACGACAAGAGGCGCAGGCTGCGAGCGAGACAGTAAGGTAGGAGGGTAGGAGATACAGAGTACATGCGAGGGAGAGGAGCGGACTGGCCGATACCCGAAGAGGATCTGGGCGGGGAAGTCCCGGATAGGCAAGGGCGGACAGGTTGGCGGGCGGGCGTCGATCGGGGAAGGCACGAGAGAGCGGGACGGAAGCATCATGTGTAAGGGGAAAGGGAGAGCTGAGCTCTCCATGGGCTATTTGCCCATGGATACACAACCCTCGTTGTAGTCTCTACAGATTTAGGCCGGTAATGATGCACCTGCCGTCCAAGCTGGAGGGTACGGAGGTCCCAGTCGATGAGGAGCGGGGAGCCGTTTGCGATGAGTCACGAAGGCAGGCCTGAAGTCAGCGTTCGCGACAAGGACGGGGCTTCCAGCGCACGGCGTCGAATGTTGATGTTGATGGCGAGCCGCTGTTCATGGAGGAGATACGAATATGGGATAGTGTGAGTAGTAGATGTAGGGAGAGATGAGTCTCGGCGCACCAACCGACGCGCCTCCGCATATGGATTGAGTGGACCTCGACGGTCTCGACGGTCATCCACCGCCCACTACTATCATGTGGCTTTGGGTCGCCTTCAGACAAGCAGAACATATGGTACTCTAGAATATCTTGCAGTTATCTCTCATTGATACGCTGACAAATCAAGTTCCCCCGTCAGGTCTCCGAGTTAACTCGAACGGCGATCCTGCCCCAGGTCATGGGAAGGTTGATAGTGAAATGAGACTTACACCTGTCACGCCTCGGACGTCGTGGCCATGCACTATCCTTCCTCCTCAATGCACCATCAGCAATCCACCCGCTGCTCAAGTTTGTCAGTGCAACACGACGCCTGCAACACACCTTCGGCAATGTAGCACCCAAAACGACGGCAAGACGCCAAGCATAACAACATGGAAGACGCAACCCTAAGACACCTCTCCCGCCTTCTACTCGCACGGTATACAACACGCTGACCCCTTTGCAATATTGTTGCAGGACGACACCATCATGCATACCTATACCCTACTCTACTATACATAGTCTGCTAAATTAGAGCTGTCCCCAAGGCATGTAACCTACGCGCTCTCGTAGATCCCACTGGAAATGTGCGCTGCGGGCGCCCGCCCGCTCTAGGGGCGGGGGAGTTCTGACGGATGGCGGGGATACCGCCAGACGTACACCTGACCGGCGCAAGAGGCGAGACCCAGGGACGCAATCGTACCCAAAGGCCGCAGGTTTATAGCCCGTTCCCTTGCCTTAAATGGCCGGGACTGGGTGGACGTCCGCAACGCACCTTTCCTGAGCCCTGCCCCCTTCCACACCACTTGCGTACTCGAACGTCTCACTCTCGCCCCTGTCCGTACTCTGACACGTCCCCTTGCACCATCCCTCATCGACACCTCCCCCATCACACACCCCTAGTTTGCATGAGCATCGTGCTCAATCATGTCCCGCTGACCACCATTATCACCTAAGTAGACAGTACTGTATTTACGACCTACCATGAGGCTCGGCCTCGCAGGGCAATAAACGGGATCTAGAAGAAGAAGAAGAAGAAATGAGACTTTGCGAAGGTAGAGCTCCTTAGGAGTTCTTAAGGCAAAGTAGTGGCGAACTCGACGCAACGAGGACTAGTTGCCGTACACTTTATATATCTCCAGCTGGTCACCATTGGCCTTCCCGCTGGCAGAGGGGTTAATCTCAGATATCACAAGCAGTCGCTCAACATTCTCGCGGCAACATATCCACTTATATACTTGATACTACATAGGTAAACAAAGATGGAATCACACAATCATCTCATCAGTTAGGAGTACCAACGACGATTCGCAGGACGACCTGCAAAGCGGCCTTAGACAACCTCAGGGGTGCAAACCTGAGACAATCATCAGCAAAGCTGTCCAGATGAAAAGGACTGTCCCCGCATCGGAAGACTTACTCCAACAGTCTGTCCCGGGATTGGAACACAGGTGACGGTGAGACCCTGGATAGGGATGTCCCCAGTGGTGCAGCAGTCCCTTGTAGTGGTGCAAGCGACCACACAACTGGGGGGAGGCGAAACTGTAATGATGTATATACAGTCAAAACCAGCTACTTCCGGGAGGAAACAACGGATTCTTTATCTAGCGTGCTATCAGGATGGATCCCGCAGCTACTCGTCCGACGAAAATTATATATATTGTAGTGAAGCTCACACTTGGCCCAGTTTAGATGTGTACATATCGACTAGCTGAGCGTATTGTAGGAGGAGCAACCAAGCAAAACACCCACGACACTCCGCAACTCAGCGAGGCCCTCGCTATGCATTCAAACAAGGGCTCATTGCTGTGAGCCTTGAGCGCGTGAGCCGTCGGAGCACGTGGCGCCGTACTCAAGAGCTGTGCTTAGACAAGAGACTTTGATACGGCGCGAGTGTACAACGGAGAATGCACATCCCTGTTGATCACGAATGAGGTAGGGCACTAATCGCTAACATGCTGGTTTTAGTTATCCGTTCTCCATGACAATCATTGGCAAGAGACACAGCGAGCGCGCCTGGGGGATACAACTTTAGGCTCGTTCATAGAAGGGAAGCCCGCGCGCGGGACTGCGGATCGACTCTGCATCCCAGAAACCATGTCTACCATCTTGAGAAGTCCATCACCCAGGAATAAGGGCAAAGTTCAACTGGTTGTACAACACGAGACATACATCTGGATTTTCCTTTTCTCCCTAGAAACGAAACCTATACCTTCGCATCGTACAAAGCATCACCGTGAATCCCAGCCGAACTCAACAGCTTCACCGCAATGGGGAGATAGAAGGCTGGCCATCCGTCTCCCAGACCAGTCTAATCCTTAATCCCCTGTGTCATCCCCATTAGAGCGGTATCGGTGAGCACAGCTTAAACGAACTTTATGTCAATATGTATCAATATGAAGTGATTGGAGAGCGAATGTACCCCTGTATTGAGCACCGGCACAACAATGCACTGGAAGGTGAAACCAAGGACGGACGGGCACGCCGCGCAGTCGGCGT